ATCTAGATACATTTTCATTTGTCGTACTGAGGAGAGGGTGTCACATGTCACCAACCATCCTACAGTGCAGAAGATATCCCCCACAACCAGGAACCATCTGGCCCAAAATGTCCCTAGAGCCATGGTTGAGAAACCATGGCCGTGAGCAAGAAGGTAAGGAAGGGACGTGCTGAACTTCCAAACCCGGCCTCATTTTATATATTGGAGTTCAGCATTTCTGCATGAGGTTTTGTTTAAAAAGTATGTGTTTTTTTTTTCCTTAAAAAACTCTTGTTGAAGACTACTGAGGTAGAAGATGACAACTCTTTGCCTTATGTTTTAGGGTTGAAACATATTGGAACAAGTCAAGTGGGCAGCATATAGAAAGCAGGTGAGGGCAATCAGAGGTTTATCTGGAAGCCTCAGCCTGAGCCTCAGTCTTGCCCTCCCACCAGTATATACTATGTTGAATGACGGGATCACATTTGCCTTCTAGTTTAGTCCAGAGGTTGGCATTTTTTCTGTAAAGCACCAGACCACAAATATCTTGGGTGCTGTGGACCATACTATCTCTGTCGCAACTACTCAACCCCACTGTTACAGCACAAAAGCAGCCTAGACAGTAGGCAAGCAAATGGGCGTGTTTGTGATCCAGTAAATCTTTGTTTACAAAAATGGGTCATGGGCCAGATTTGGCCTGTGAACTGTCATTTGCCAACCCTGATGTAGACCGTAAGAACTGTGTGTGTTTTATCTTCATGTCTCCCTGCCTAACACCCTATTGGCACATAGTAGGGGTTGCCTCAGAAAATATTTCCTGAACTATGTTGAGGGCCAATCACATAGGTGCAAGTACGAGCAGATTTTAATGAGAATAATGGCTGGGAAAAGATCCATCCAGTATTTCCTAGAGAATTTCTATACGTTGTTTCACTGTTTTCCTGTGTTGGACATTCAGGACTCTTCCGATTGTTTCTTATTAATAATAATGACTGTGATGAGTTCCTTCAGACAGAAAGTGTTAGCCTCATTTATCATTTCCTTGGCATAAATTCCTAGAAGAAGAAATAGAATCAAACAGTATATATTGCTAAATTGCTTTCCAGGAAGGTGGTATTGATGTGCATTCCTAACATAATCAGAGGGAGGGATTTATCATTATGCAAAGGATTTCTTTCAACAGAATGTCATGAATAGAAGTTTTGGCATCCATATGTATTTCCACGAATTAGCTTACTGCAAACAAAAGCAAATTGGTGTTAGCTACTAATCATTTTAATAATAACGTTCTCCCACACTGTTGTGACAGCGTGATGATTAAGGCGCGTTGTGCTATCTGTCCGTGTCATCTAGCCAACCAGTGGAGGTTACCCTATCGGGTGTGTTTATTGAGCACACATAGGAACATCTGCTTCCCATTAGGGCATCAGAAGCTCCCCTATCTGCACGCCAGGCACCAGCCTGCCCTGCCGTGATGTACGGAGGCCTCCTCCCTGTGAACTCCACCACCAGATATGTCATCCAGATCACTCATTTCCCTCAGGAAACTTCATTTAGGTTAATTTCGGCAATTAACCTGGGGGCAATTCTTGAGCAATTTCTTCTGTGATGGCTTGCAATGCGTAAAATTCTCCTACAACATGTTGCAAAACTCACTGGAAGAATACTAAGGGTATTTGTCCAGTTGTCCAGTTGTCTTTGTCACAGCAAGAAATGTCTCTTCTGAACTGCGGTACATGGTGAGAAAAAAACATGAAATAAAGGTAGATCAAGGAGCAGATGTTCATCCTGTCCGTTTTCACGAGGTGCTGTTGGCGCAGTAAGGGTGAAGGGGCCCAGCAACGTGCCTTACCTTTACGGTGAACGCTGGCCTTTCCTCAGCTCTTTGGATGTCTCTGACTCTCTCCAAATGAGGAAGAGAGTATCTGTGACTGAGAAGTAATAGAGAGCACTGTAGAAATAGGAGTGGGTCTGTGGTTATAGGATGGTGGAATTTACTTCGAAGTGGATGGATTCCAGATGAAACCAGTATATGAGGACCGTAATTAACAAAACCCATGCTGCCAGGCACCTTCTTGTTTACCTGCTTAGGTCCTCCCAACATTGCCGTCGGGTAGACACCGTACCAACCCCAGCCACAGAAAAAGAACCAGAGGCTCAGAATGGCTAACTGGTGCGTCCAAAGATCAGCGCTCCTAAGAGGCAGAGCCAACACAAAACCCAGGTCCACAGACTCCAGTGCCCTTTTTTTTTTTTTTTTTTTTAAGCACCTAGTGATAGCACTTTGGTAGCGCCTCTGAGTTTGGAAACAGAGACCAGTGCATTAAGTCATCCCCATCAGAGACCAGCTGACCAGCTTCCTAAAGTGCGAGCCAGAATTCAGGCCCAATTCACTTGTGGGCATTGTCCCCTGAAAGACCCGGACGGTGGTGGAGATGTTTTCAGCGCTGAGCCCAGAAGGAAGTGACCATGAAGCCCTGAGGAAACAGGGTGTCACCTGGAGTTCTTGGCGTCTCTTGTGTGGCTACACGCTTCACCGAAGCCAACCCGTAGGCCATTTGGACGTCTGGCAGGAGAAAAGGTTACAACCTTCCCTCCCATGTCTAGATTCCTGCAGGGTGGCTGTGCTGCATAGGAAATCTGGAATGTGGGGGTGGCATTCATGGGACTGTGGAGAACATCTCAATATAATATCTGTTTCACAAGATAAAATGGCATTTAGTCTGTGTCTGTGGTTGTCTGAAGCCCACTGTGGCTGTGTAATTTGTAATTTTCTTGTCGGTCCTCCCGCTCTAATTGGGCTGGGGGCTAAGGATTCATGTGATGTCTTTCCTTGTCTCTGGAGGCTCTCATTCATCCTTGAAATGTCCCCTACACCCCATTTAGAAGAGAGAGTCGGGCTAGGCTGCCTGTTCTCCTCACTCTGGGACCCTCTCCACAACACCAAAGTTATCGTCTGAGAAACAAATCTGAGCATAGCCCTCCCTTTCTCGACACCCAGGGGTTGCTTGTTGATGCCTTCAGATAAAAATCCAATTCTTCCTCCTGGAAAACAAGATTCTTAAACCATTCAGCTGAATTCTCCAGCCTGATTTCATGCCTCCCAGCAACCCTACACTTGAGCGGTGTTGTTCTGTGAACATGCTTTCCTACCTCTGTGCCTTTGTATGAAGTGCTCCCTTTACTGGAATCCTCCGTGAGGAGGAGCTCAGTCTGGGACAAACCGGGCCCAGGGACGGCAGAAATGGAAAGGGAGGAGAGTGAGATTTTGCTGGACAGGGCAATGACTGTGTGCTGACCAACATTTCTATCCATCGTCCCCATCAGTGACAATCAGAGGCATGTCCTTAATTTGGTTGGAATCTTGCTTTGGCAATGTGGCATTTTGCTTGTTTCTTTTTTTTTTTTTTTTTTTTTTTTTCTCAAAGCAAAGGAGAACCCAAGGGGTCAGAGATGGAAATCATGCATGGAAAACATTTTCCTTATTTTTCCGCTAAAATGTGCATGGGGCAGGGGCAAGAAATATTTGAGGGAGGAGAAATACACAGCAAACATGGCATTTTGAGAGGTTAATTGGATGTGGATGAACATATTGAGATGATGTTCTGTTATTGTCAGAAATAATGTTTTACAGAGAAGCTATTTGTGAAGAGAGACCAGTTATTATTGATGGACTAATGTGCACTCAGGAATATGGAAGTAATAATGCAGAGGTACAGTGTCTACAGAAAGATGTCAATCAAACGTGAGGTTGGAGGGGACAGCCTGAAAACCTTCTGATTTGACTCTGCATATAGGATTTGACCTGTAGGGCCCATATGAACAGACCCAGGGTTATTTCACAAAATCACAAGTGGATTTTGGATGGTTTGCCGACCACTTTGCCCCCCTGGGATGGGGTCTGATGAGTGCTCTTTAGAATTCAAAGAACCAACACAAGCCTGTGATTCCGCAAACATGTGTCTCAAGTTTTAGAGTACCATTCTGATTTCAAGTACCGTTCCCTATCCCCATAACCCAGTGAATGAATCCTGTCATCACAGCGCTTCATTGTCCAGCTGTCATCTGCTCACTTCCATCTGCCCGTAGAAATGTGACAGAATTCTTTGCTCCAACCACATGCCCACATCTTAGATGCAGGAAGCATGATCATGAGCCCCGGAAGTAGGAAAAGACTGTATAAAGGTAATGATCTTGCACTTTGTTCCAAGTGCAAAATAAAATGGCCCCAACAGAAACATGAACAGGGAGGGGAAAGATAAAGCAAAAGAAATCTTTGAGTCATGGGAAGATCATCGTCTAGCTCGCTGGTGTCTCTGGCCTTTGCCTCCTTCCCCGCTTTCCCCCAGGAAAAATGCTTTGGGGGAGCCAAGCCAAATCCTGCTGCTCAACTCTTCAGAGCCACAGTGACCAGCAGAGACCCAGATCTCGACCAATTTGACCTAATGCCCTAAGACGCTAAGCCTGCGAGTACCACTTCTCAGGGTACTTTGCTAAGCATTTATACGGTCTGTCATTTAGAACACAAGACTTGGGGACAAACCCCAATTTTCGGTGGAATACTTACCATGGAGCCAAAGAACTTTGTATAGAAATCCCAGATGATCTCTCCCCTCTGAGTCCCATAGGGGGATGGATGTGCAGGACAACTTCACTGTCCAGCCAGTATAAATAAGTGACCGGCCCCCACACCCTCCCTGTTCCTTCTCTCTGCGTAATTTCCTCCTTATAATTTGCCACCACCAAGCGTACTGTTTGATTTGCTCGTCTTGTCTACTGTCTGGGGCCTGCACCCGGCCCCTAGAGTGTACATTTCATACATTTCTTGCCCAGAGTCGGTGCTTTGTGACTGTCCATCGAGTGCAGGAAGAATGAACTTGCTCACCTGCAGGGGCTGAATGGGGGCAGGAGGGAGGTCGGTTCGAGACCCAGTAATAGATCTTCCATTGCCCCCTCGCCCCATCTCCCCTCGCACTCCTGTTACATGCTACAAGAGTCTTTTGTTTTCTACCTCTCCACAGAGCATTGGCTGTGATGACTACTTAGGCTCCGACAAAGTTGTGGACAAATGCGGGGTGTGTGGAGGTGATAACACAGGCTGTCAGGTTGTGTCAGGCGTGTTCAAGCATGCCCTCACGAGCCTGGGCTACCACCGAGTTGTCGAGATTCCCCAAGGAGCCACCAAAATCAACATCACCGAGATGTACAAGAGCAACAACTATTTGGGTAAGCTTGGTCTTTTGCCAGAGGAAACCCTCTGTCACTACCAGATGATTCGTTCCTTCCCAGGATCGTGACACAGCAATGTCCAGAGGTCCGTAGACACGTAGAAGGTGCCACTGGGGCACGCCAAAGCACCGCTTGACCTCCCCCTTGAAATGAGAAGCGTGGGTGGAGAAAATTTTAAAAGTCCTTGCAAATAAATATTTAATACCTACACATTTAAGCCAGCCTTTGTTCCTTCCAAGAGCAACGTGGTTATGAAACAGGTGATGGGCTAAATGGTTTCTCTGAGGGGCGCCTGGGTGGCTCAGTCGGTTGAGCATCCAACTTCAGCTCAGGTCACAGTCTCACGGTTCGTGAGTTCGAGCCCCGCGTCAGGCTCTGGGCTGATGGCTCAGAGCCTGGAGCCTGCTTCCGATTCTGTGTCTCCCTCTCTCTCTGCCCCTCCCCCATTCATTCTCTGTCTCTCTCTGTCTCAAAAATAAACATTAAAAAAAAAAATTTTTTTTTAAATAAATAAATAAATGGTTTCTCTGAGATGGGGGAGGCTCTATAAAAAGCCAGGGTATGTGCCAGTCTTTGTTCTGTTGGGAGTTCAAGGTGGCCAGGGGCCATTGATGACCCTGTCTGGAGCTTCGTTCCCTACAAGTCTAAAGTAAAACCATTTTTTCTCTTCTTTCTGCTTCATCTGCCTGTGGCAGCAGGATGTGTAGAGCATGTGTGTATCTTCTTAACAGCTGCAGTCATTTTGGTCAATGTCGTCAATATCAAGAAGCCGTTTTAACCCATTGTCCTGCTGAAAGTTAGATCTTTGTTGATACTTCCTCCTGGGTTTCTGGCTGATTGCATTTTACACAAAGCCCATCAGGCCATACAAATGAATTTTTACCAATTTTAGGTAAGCATGTGCAGATTAACCAACAAAATAACACAAGGAAAGCAATTTCTGAAAGTCATTTCATGAAGGCAATATTCATTTTCATTTTTTAATTATGTCTTTCACTTAAATGGCACAGACACTATGTGCCAGGCACCATTCTTAGTGTTTTGCCTCTACTAAATTATTGAACCCTCTCAACAACCCTAGGGATAGGAGCAGTTCCTATCCCCATTTTATAGATAAGGAAATGAGCACAGAGAAATTATGTAACTTGCCAACATCACCCAGCAAGGATGAGGTAGAGCTGAGATTCGAACCCAGGCAGTCTATCTCCAAGCATAGCAGTCTATGAAGATATAATACCCATGAGCAGTTCTCAGAGTTCTTCTGGTACACCATTGGCCATACAGCAGTCAGTGGTTGCAGCAGTTGAGAGAAGTGGTTAATTTTGCAAATTTCAAGTACCAAGAACACCCCTGAAGATAAATCCAGACCCAACAACTCCAAATGCCACAGCTCTTCTCTCTGCACCCAGGAAAATGCAACTGAAATTAGCTTCACCTGGATTTATTGGCAAGAGGAGGAAGGAATGGCAGGTGAGACCCTGAGACAAGTCCAGTTAAAGTGGAGAGCTGACCCATTGGCTCTGGCAAGCCCAGGAGCCACCAAAGTGACAATAAGCCCAGTTTTCCCAATGAGTGGTTTGTGTGTTATTTTTAGTTGTGAGAAGATAGTCCTTGTGTGTGTTTACTCCTTTTTTTTTTTTTTTTTTTTGAATGTTAGAACATCACATCTCCATAAACATCCCATCTTCTAGAGTGGAAAATGTTCTTCAGGGGATTAGTTGAAGCGTCATTGGGTGCCAGTGCACCAGAAAACAATGCCACTTTTCACGAGCGTTGTGTTGTTTTTAGTAAATTCTCATTGCTCAAATTAGTCCTGTTCGGGAAACAGTTTTTAAGTTGTGCCCTCTGAAGAGAAAACCCTGGGTGAATATCCACTGGATGTCTGAATGTAAACTGCTCTCGGAGCCTCGGTGTTTGCATCTAGAGTATGGGAAGAAGAATCTTGACCTTGTAAGTTTTCAGGACAATTAATGGAGTAACAGATATGCAGAACCCTATCACTTACTAGCAACTGACCAATGTTCGTTCCCTTTCCTTTGTCTCTGAGACCTTTTTAGTACATCAGAGCTTTGTGGAATCAAAATTCCCTGTCCCCCTAAAAAAGGCTCAATGAAAGGGTGATGATTCAGAAAGTCAAATTCAACCTTGTATGCCCAGAGAGCAGTTGGGTGCATGAGAAATCCAGAGTCCTTTGCCAATATTATAGGATGGCATGTGGGCAAAGGAGGGAGAATGGAAACAGAAGAACAGGCCACAGAGAAAGGAGGTTCCAGAGGTGATGAATGGGACCTTCTGTCTGCAGCACTGAAACTACATGCAATGCTTTTTTTTTTTCCTCCTTTTTTCTTATGTTTATTGACATGTAAGTCATGTATCGTAAAATTCAACCTTTTAGGGGCGCCTGGGTGGCGCAGTCGGTTAAGCGTCCGACTTCAGCCAGGTCACGATCTCGCGGTCCGTGAGTTCGAGCCCCGTGTCAGGCTCTGGGCTGATGGCTCAGAGCCTGGAGCCTGTTTCCGATTCTGTGTCTCCCTCTCTCTCTGCCCCTCCCCCGTTCATGCTCTGTCTCTCTCTGTCCCAAAAATAAATAAACGTTGAAAAAAAAAATTAAAAAAAAAAAATTCAACCTTTTAAAATGTACAGTGGTTTGGATGGTATTTGTCTGATCACAAGTATTCTCTTTAGCTATCCCACCTATCCTGCTAAATCTCCTCTTCTGTCAGGCCTGTATAGTTTAAAAGTTAAATTGCATGGGATTGCCTGAGATTGTGTAGAAGCCATTAGAACACAGGTGTCTCTCGCTATTTTTGAACTGTTCAACGACTGTGTTTTACATTACACATTTTCAAACACTTAAACGTTTTTTGAAGAGATATGTGGTGGGTTTCTCTACAATTTTCCAGGTAATGGTGAAGGTTTTGGTTTTCTTACTGTGTAATTCCTGGCTAGGAAAACTATTTTGTGTAAAAATGTGACTTGACGCACAAAATTGATTTGGCTGTCCATGTACAGCTGTTCTGTAGAATTGGCAATAGAGAGGGAAGGAATAGTTCAAATTTGTGTCATTGCTTTCAAACCATGCACAGCTTTTCAAAGTTTTTCAGTTGCCCTGTTTCTCGGAATTACCTTTAGTTATTTGTGATGCAAATCAAACTTTTTCTTGTGAAACACTTGATGTTTTTTAATGACTAACTCTCCAAACTTGATAGAAATGGAAAATAGCTTTCTATGAAAACAGAAGGACTTATATTATTACTGCTGGAAAAGATGGTCTTATCACCTCATTTTAAAAGGTTTTTAATTTTAAAACCCTTAATATGTAAGTGCCTTTTCTAGGCCAGTCGCTTAGTTAATGATAACCATCGTGCTATATGTATGGTAAGTACCAGAGTCTCCAAGCATTTTGACGTACGTGGCCTTCTGATTTTTAAAATTGGGCATTCTTTACTTTGCTTGCTTCGAGAAAGATCTAGAATTACTGAAGAAGCAATGATAGAGTGAGGATGTGAAAATTGAAATTTAAAAATCAAAACTAAATATGCGGAAGAAGGAGGCATACATCCCCCAAATCTTGACTAATATGTAAATAGTAATGGTGCATTCAACCAGACGCTGAGTTTATGGCTGAATTTGGTGCTTTCAACCAGACGCTGAGTTTGGTTTTTTCCATCAAGAACTGGACCCGCTAGGGGCACCCGGGTGGCTCAGTCAGTTGAGCATCCAACTTCGGCTCAGGTCATGATCTCATAGTCCATGAGTTCAAGCCCCACATCGGGCTCTGCTCTGACAGCCCGGAGCTTGGAACCTGCTTCAGGTTCTGTGTCTCCCTCTCTCTATGTCCTCCCCTGCTCATTCTCTGTCTCTCTGTCTCTATCTCTCTCAAAAATAAATAAACATTAAAATAAATTAAAAAAAAAAAAAAAGACCTGGTCCTGCTAGGATGCAGACTTCGAAGGCCGAGCTCTAGCCCTGGTCCTGCCATAACCCACAGGGGACAGACCCACCTGGAGCTGGGGCAACAGGCCAGCTCAGCACTTCGTGACGCCCACTATTTCTCTGGGCAAAGCTGGAGAAACCGTGACCTTTAATGATACACAGATTTCAGGAGGTAGACCCTTTGTCTCATTTTAGATTGGAAACCAATGAATTTCTGCAGAACTGAGCTCCGCTTTTATTTTTAAGTTTATTTATTTCTTTTGAGATATAGAGAGGAGGGAGGGAGGGGCAGAGAGAGGGGGAGAGAGAATCCCAAGCAAGCGCAAAGCCTGATGTGGGGCTCAGATTCTCAAACTGTGAGATCATGACCTGAGCTGAAACCAAGAGTCGGACACTTAACCAACTGAGCTACCTAGGCGTCCCAAGCTCCATTTTTTAGTGTTTATCTGAATTTGTCCACATGCTCCAAAATATACACTATTTGGTGCATTATAGATTCCTAGATGATAGATAGATATAGATAGATAGATAGATAGATAGATGATAGATAGGTAGATAGGTAGATATCTTTTTTTTTTTTTTTTAATGGAAAAGGCTTTGGAATCCATGGATCTGCTAAAGGCTATCTATTGTGCTTTTGCATGAGAGTTATTCTGAACCCTGCTCTTTGGAAATAAAAAGTTAAACCTAATTTTATTAAAATGATTGACATTTTATATTACTTACCTCTTCCTTAGTAATAAGATGTTGTAAAACTATTCTACCTGAAATATCAAAGTTTGGCTAGTGCAGCTAGCTCAGCTTACTAATGTCATTATGGAACAGTTCAGAAATCAGACATAAAAGCATACCAAGCAAAATTGATTCTACAGGACGCGTTCTACCTGCCAACATGCTACATGTCATAGAGCCTGAGACTTGGAAGAAATTTGTTAAAGGTCTGTAAGCTTTAAAAAATAAATTGGCAATACCTTTACTTTTAGGCATGTTTTCTTAAAAGTTTTAAACAATAATAATAATCACCGGCATTTAAAACATCAAGTATCATGGATCGTCTGTAG